TTTTAAAGTTTGATTGGGAGGCAGCGGGGCGTGTGCACGCCAACACACACACACACACACACACACACACACACACACACACACAAAAACACACATACACACACACACACACACACACACACACACACAACACACACACACACACACACACACACACACACACACACACACACACACACACACACACACTTACTGTTGATAAGGAGTAAAGACTCTGAAAACGATTTTTTTCATTCCAAAATTCACACAATAAAACAGGTGAACCATTAGTTTACATTTCATTTAAAGTTAGAAATTAAGCAAATATTACACATTTCTTCCAACTGCATTTGTCATGTGACTGTTTTGGTCTAATCATTGAGACTGAGTGATCACCAGGTATTTGGAGAATCGTTACTCACTTTATTAAAATGTAAAAGTTAGTTTGTGTGTGTTTATGAGCTGTAACAAGCTGGTACCTTATTGAGAAAGGTGAGAGTGTGTGTGAACGCCAGTCTGGCATAGGGAAGAACTGGTGTGGCGTGTTTGGTGTTGTTGTGGCGCCACAGTGATGCCACCCTCAAAGCCTCCAGCAGTCTTTGTCTGAGTGAAAGAGACAGAAATGCCCATCAGAAATTCCATTACGTATCTGTGTGGATGAAGATTTATCTCAAGATCAATAAAATAATTTGTATCCTTAGCTTCCACAAGGTCCTGGTAGGCTTGGTTAGGCTAGGTATGACATAACACTTCTTCATGCCTTTTATTAATTCTGTGTACCTGACCATGAGAGCTGCGTCCAGCGATCCTGCCTGCCGCTGTGGCAGGTAGATGCTGGGATAGAGAGCAGTGGACTGACTCCAGAGCCACGACAGACGTTCATTCTGCCTTCTCGTCCCTCTGTGACAGAGTCCTGTGTAGCTCTTATCTGGTCACACGTGTGAAACAAAAAAGACACAGGACTGTTTCATTCAGACTTTGTATTTTAAACATGAACTTTCTTTTATCAGTTAAATGATGGTGACATAAAACATCTAATCAAAATAGTGTTATTTGAAAAGTGGCATAATAATACTTTCCTAAGATAAATGTTCAACAAGATGATTGCATGTTGAAACAATGGTGTTCACAGTCCACTGACCATTTGTCCTACCTGTCTTTCTCTTGTGCTTATTAAAGCAGGCAGGAAAACCGTAAAACCCCCATAATCCCTTGGGATGACTTCTGACCGCCGACCGCAATGTCTCCTCCATGAACATCCGAGCATTCTCTTCAAACTTTTGCCTCGCCAGCAACATCACGGCCCTGTCAGACAAATCCGGTCTTGCCTGTCTCACCAGCTGCTTGGACAGCCTCCGGTACTCCATCTTGGATCCAAAGTTTCTCTCCCACAGTGGGCGCCACTCCTCCCAATCGATAACGGCCAAACCCGCAAAGTTTGGCTGCAGCAAACCAGAAATCTGCATCTCTGTAAGGGAAAGATGGTCGGCCAGGTCGCCAAGCTGCGGTATTCCTCCGTTCACCTTCCGGCCGTCTCTGGAGAGGTATGGATATTCCCCCAGGCGGTCACGGTAAAAGATGGTCATTTTCTGGAAAGATTAAATATTTACCCATAGTGTATATATTGAGTATGAAAAAAATATATTAGAATGAAAATGATCTTATTTAATATCTATGACTATGTCCACCTCCTCAGGGTTCAAAGGTTCAGTGTGTAGGATTTAGTGCCATCCAGTGGCGAAGTTGCATATTGCAACCAACAGCTCTCCTGACCCTCCCCTCCTCAGTGTGTAGGAGAACTATGGTGGCCATTCTGTGATGTAAAAATGCTCAAGAGTCAGAGATTGTTTTGTCCGTTCTGGGCTTCTGTAGAAACATGGTGGTGCAACACAGCGGACAGTGTGAACGACGAGTCTGAGGAAGGCTCATTCTAAACTAATGACAACACAACGATCCCTACTCAGGTGACTGTATACTGGGGAAAACTTCTATTTCAATTTCTGGAAAGAGATTCCCATAAATTCTACACACTGGACCTTTAAACTGTGTTCAAATAGAACAGATAGGACCATAAAAGGCTGTTTGTAGAGGACCTTCAACCAACAATAGACTAACACTGCAAAATCCCATTTTCAAAAATACACTATGAAGTTCATAACCACGTAGCTTTAAAGTACCTTTGACAGAATAAATATGTCATCGGCTAGTTTAAGGCAGAAAGATTTAAATTAATGTTAATATTAAGAGAAATCTATATTCTAATTATATAGGGATCAGGAAAGTTTCACATCCACTGGTGACATCACCCTCTGCGTTTCATCACCTGTCCCTGGAATCTCTGCTGTCGGTTCTCTACAATATCAAAGGCTCCCAGGTTCAGGTAGACGTTGTGGCGTTTCTGACAGCGTGACGTGGGCATGTTCCACACCACGACAAAGGGCTTGTCCTTCAGGATGGGGCCTGCTGCAGCCACAGCAGGGGAGGGAGTGAGAGAGTTTCCATGGGTGAAGTTCCACGGCAGTGATGTGAGGGGGAGGGGAGAAAGAGAAAGGAGGAGGAGGTGCAGAGGGAGGTGAGACAGCACCATGGCTGCTCATCAGCTGACTTGTCCTTCCTAGCAGGAGAGAGGGATGAGCCAGTCAGATCTAATGATGAGGAACTTCACTTATAGCAAAAACAATAAATACATTTAAATACAATGTGAGTTTATATTTCATGATCAAAAGTCCTGACAGGTAATAAAATGAAAGTACAAACACACACCAAAGAAATATTTCACTAAATTTATTTCCATCATTTTTCACCATCATGTCTCAGTTTAATGATATAACAAATCTTAAAAACTTTAATAAGGCTTAAGATCTCTGGCAGTTCAATGAGGTAGATTCAACCTTCAAGTTTAACATTACAACATGTCATGTGATGTAACAGCTACAGCAGTTTATTGATCTTTTCAAGATAAGAAAATTAATTTACATTCACCATCCGTTAGCTAACCAACAACCCACTGGGAGAAAACCAATTCTTTGATTTTTGAGTCCATCTTTTTCAAAAAATAATCTAAATCTCAATATAACTCAACTGAGCAGGTAAAGATGAGTACATCTTCTCCTTCTCCTCAATTGAAAAATCCATCAAGTGTGAATGTTGAAAGAATTTTAATTTCAAAGTCTGATGGGATAAAATGAGATGTGTCCTGCTTCACTGGAAGATTCAAGCTTCCTCCTCATGAGCTGTGTTAGCTTCATCATTAGACATACGCTTTTAACAGTAGATATGATTCCTTTGTCACTAAATCCTCTTGTTCATACAAGTCTTACACCATGATTCAACAAATGTGAAAACAGTCTCAACTCTGCCCACATTATTATAACAACAGTAAAACCAATCTTTAAGAAGGACTTAAGAGCTGAATTTTAGGATTCAACTTTTTTTTCATTTTTAAAATAACAATGAGAGGCACTGGTAGGTTTAAAAAAAATGTTTTTTTAATGAAAAGCCAAAGTCGAGCCACGAGAACTGAAATATAAAATCCTGTTTTGTTTGACAGTTTGCAGTACATGATATCATTTGTGTTTAGTCCATTTGAACGTGTGTTTCTCTAATTGAGATATTTTCAGGCTCTATTTCTCTTCTGTGGGTGTATGTACTATCAAGTGTGTCCATTTGTGTGTTCATCAAATGTCTTTGTGCATCCAGTAGATGGGAACTCCTTTGGCGTCTCTGTAGGGAGTCTCGTTCAGGGTCTGAACTACGAGCTGCCCTGCAGACTGAGGAGGAGGAGGTGGAGGTGGAGGGATAGATGGAGGCAGTGGGATGGAGGGTTGAGGAGGAGGTGGAGGGATGGAGGGAGGTGGCGGGATGGAAGGTGGAGGAGGAGGTGGAGGTGGAGGAGGAAGAGTGGGAGGATGAGGCTGAGGTGACCCTGCAACATAAGCACCATCTGAGTCTCGGTTCACTTGTGGCATTTGAGCGTCCATCACTGTCCGTTTTTGATTCTGCTTGTTCATCTCGTCACTCTGTATCCTGGAGAACTTTAGAAGCGTTTCCATGGGAACAAACGATGTCATGGAGCCTGCGTTCTGCACTGGCGTTGACAACACGTAGCCGAGGTGTGCATAGAAGTGCTGCTTATCATGGGTGGTCAGGCACAAGCATTTGAACCCTCTGCCTTTCGAGTAGCGCTCGGTCTCCTCCATTAAAGTCCGGCCGTAGCCCTTCCCTCGCTCCGCCCTTGACACGACCACAGACTCTACAAACAGGCTGCTGCCATGACCCACAACCCTGGACAGCCGGACGTGGCCCAGCAGCCGCTCTGACTTTCCGCGGCCCTGCAGAAGAACCAGGCAGAGGGGGAACTCTGGACAAGACTTATTGAGGGAGTGAACCCGGGCGGCCTGACTCCTCTGCCACTCAGAGTTCACCAGGTCGGCACAAGGAACCAGCAGATCTGGACGCTGGTGGATCGGGACCACATGGATCCTCCCCGGTGGTTCAGGGTCAGCGTTTGGCTTCTCTTTCACTTCTTCAGCAGACTGTGTCTGACAGTCTGATATGGAGGTGGGCCGCAGGTCAGCGTTCAGCTCCTCTCCAGGCAGAGAACTGGCAATTGCCGATGTTATTGGTTGAGACCTGTGGTGATCAGGGTTTAACTGAAGTCAGTTTTCATTTAACTCCCGCAGCGGAGTGCAAAAAGTTAGAAACTGTTCTGAACATGCACTTCCTCAATTTAGTGGGTAGTCTGATTACATCACAGTCTGCATGACACAACTGATCATTTGACGTTTGACTTCCTGACTAATTTCACAGCAATAAGATGACTCTCATTCTCTTAATCTTAATGGTAATCATCCTGCCTCCTGAGCTCAGTCCTCTTGTCGGCCTTCCCTTCCTGAAACAACGTAAACCTTCACTCTTCACCTCCTCTGTTTTAGATGTTCTGTTCGGAGGAACTTGTTAAACTACATTTTATTTGTGGATAAAAAGTAAAGGGTCAGTGTTCAGGAATGAATGTGACTTATACAACTCTAAACCTTAGTCCACCGTGCAGAGGAGCTCCAAAATGTCCCAAATTCATACTTTTTAAATGACTTATTTTGTTAACAAACAGTTGAAAATCCAAAGAAATTTAGTCTGTTTTCATAAAGGAGTAAGGATCCTGTTTGAGAGGCGAGAATAACAACATTTCTGGTTCATTTAAAAATATCTTCCATGATTATTCAGTTACCAAAAAGCAGAAGTGACTGAATGTCTTAGTCTGCACTGTGACAGAGTACATGCATGTGTGTGCTGATTCATATGAACCCCAGCTGACATGCACAAGTCAAGTCAAAGCTCTAACAGGACTCATGCTGTAAATTGTAACAGAGCATGTATGTGTTCAAATTATTTTTCACAAAATAACCAACTTTTGGCAATGAGTTGACATTTATCAGAGATATATACTGATGATTGTATTATAACGATGTCCAGAGTTATTATTGTTAAAACAAAATATAATTGTGTGTTATATTTCATTCTATGATGTGTATAGTACAAAGAAACGGAATAAAATGATGGATAAAAGTAAACTTGAAGGAGAATAAAATACAGAGACTTTGAAACTAATCTCTTAGTGCTGATGGTATGCTAATCCTCTTTCTTTTTAGAGATAACACATGTGGAAACGTCACCTCTTACATCTCAAATGAGAAAATGCAATCATCCCTGTGCCTTCTACTATCGAGAGATGAGAGGACGACCTGACAAAGTGGCTTCAGATAACGTACACCACCACTGCCGTTTCACAACATAACAACTGCTGTTAGCAGTTGCAGCATTACTGTGAAAATGATTGTGGGTATAGTGAGATAGTGGTGTTAGCATTTTTTAGCAGCTAAGACAGCTAATACGATGACGATAAGAAGATAAAGAAATAACAAAAGGCCGAAGCCCCTCATGAACATCCGTGAGCCTTTCAAGGGAAGAGAGGGATCACCAGGAGTTGTCTTTGGACTATAAAAGCCTTGGACTGTAAACGCCGCTGGTACAGAAGTAACATCAGTGTCTGGCTGTCTGCTTCTTCCAGGGCGCTCCTTGTCACGGCTGATTGTGGTCGTTGAACGTGTAGTTTGAGTAAAGACGGTGTATTTTGTTTACAAGTAATTCTAATAGTAATAGCAGCTAATTCCAACTTTGCAATGCCAGGCATGAATGTGTGTGTGTGTGTGTGTGGGGGGGGGGGGGGGGGGGGGGGGTCGCCGCTCCCCAGAATGAGTTACCCCCCCCCCCTTAAAGTTAGCGGACCTGTTGAAACCACATCACGTTTATATAGATTTAACTACACTCATGAATAAAGATGTGAATCTCTTAGCTGATGTCTCCTGTAGAGCCACACAATGATGCCGTCTACACTTGGTCTCATCAGTGTGAATCTATTATCTGCCACATTGTGCCACATGGTTTCTTCAGAGACTGAGCTGTGACGCAGCGAACATAAAGTTTCTTATTCCATCTAATTCTTCCTGATGCTTTTTTTTGTTGTTAATTATTCAGGCTAATCTGAGTTTTAACCAACTGTTAATGTCAGCTGTTATACAAGAAAACATTTCTTGAGAAGAGTAAACTCATATTCTCTTATCAAATGTTACTAGAGCATAATTTCTAATGTTGACACTGTGCAACACAAACTGAAAGAACAGAGAGATGGCATCACACATTGCAAAGGAATCAATTACTGTTTTTTAGCCATTTCCCAGGAGTCTCTAACTCCTTGCTACGCCAACTTAAAAAGGTTGATTAACAGAGTCGAGTTCATCTTAAAGCTGCAAGGAAACAGCTTAAAGAGTTTCTGTGTTTTCTACTCATCCGTAAAGGTTCAACAAAGAAAAAATATGAATCTAAAATGTGTTCAAACTGTCTGGGATTCAATTTTGCATTTCAGTAAAAAGAAAAAGAAACAGACATAAACAAAGATCACAAAATGATGGAGAAAGAAGAAATAGGGGAAAAGACCAACAATTAAAAAATACCGACTCACCGACAGAGAAAAGCTGATGAATGTAGTTCTGACTACTCAACGCCACTTCACATTCTCGCAACGTTCAGAAAAAAAGGATGTTTGAGAGATGCAACAGGAAACTAGCAGTTAACTGATAATCACACTGAATATTTAAAAAACAACAACTAAATAACATTCCAAAATCAACACTTCAGATGTACACCAGCATTAAAATCAAGAAACAACACCTACGTTTTCTCACTTATGGCATATTTTTAGTGCCGCCTTCACAAGATGACTCAAACTATATAAAGGTCCTCAGTAACTCATTTATAACTGTAACCACCTTCATTGATGAGTCTTGATGCATTGGTAGTGAATTTGAAAACCTTATAGTATTTGTATCTATGGTCCAGTTGTTGGTGTCCTCTTTGTCCCACAGACACTTTGACCCCATAGACCCCTGGTATTAACATACTGTATGGTCTGAGTGATCCGATCACAAGTGGACAGCTCTAAGTGCAGGTGTGTGAAGGCACTCGGATCGAAAAGCGATCCAATCACACCAGACCACATTGGTCTGGGCCCATGTGTCCACATTCTTTTAGCAGTGTGAATGTAAATGTGGTCCTGGACTCTGCTGACGTCCTCTGTGTAAGTGGAAATATGTACACACACATAGCAACAGGCAAGATGCGATTTGCTCGCTTCTGTTGTTACGTCACAAGACGTACGTGGGGCAACATTTCAGGTGTGAACCAGGCACTCGGAGCTGTCCACTTATGATCGGATCATACCAGGTGTGTACGGGGCCTGGATTTAAGTATTGGTGATTGCTACGAAAAGAAATTCTGCAATCTTGCTTTTTATTGCTGCAAAAATGTGCCATGGTCGAATCCTTTCCCAGCACCATGTCAGTGGCAGAAGGAGTTGGCAAGTTCTATCTTGCTTCATTACATGTCAGAAAAAATGAAAGGGAAAGCTGGACGTATTCAATAAAATATTTAGGCATTATGGTTATGGATGAGTTGTAGCTCTAAGACCAGCTCCCTCATGTTATTTTCATCTGAGAAATATTTCTAGATTGTCAATTTACTTTCATGATCTCCAGAAAGTGATTCATGCTTTGATTCCATCCGGGCTGGATTATTGTAACGCTTTGTTTACGTGCCCTGGTTGGGTTCAACTAAAACTTGAAACTTCACTCTCTGTTTTTAAATAATCTCTCAAAATTTACTTTAACTAATTCATGGATTTTGTTGATTGTTTTCTGCTATCGCTCATGTTTCTATCCTTAACTTTTGCCATTACTATTGACTGATGTTGCTGATAGATTACTTATCTAATATCTTTGATATTACTGATTCTCAGGTTTTTGAAGGTAAACTAACTTTTTACAAACACATGAATACTCTCTTTTGTTTATCACCTTTGCTGTATCCCTAGTGTCCGTTTCTTGTTGTTTGTCACAGGGTATCCCACATTCATATTACTGACTCTCACCCCACACAGACCAGTCTTTTCTTCTGTAATCTGTAATTCAACCCCACCTCTGTCAGAGGAAACACTTTTGCAAATCCAGAGCAATATTTCTTACACTAGTGAACTCTCTTGTACTTTCTTGAAACTGAAATGAAAAGGAGAAGTTGACAGCTCTGTTCAAAAGAGTACAAGTGTGCTAGTTCCCATGGTGACTGAGACCTGAGTGAAGCCCATATTGTTATTTCAAACAATTACCATTGATTCGACATGACTCACTTCAAAAACATCAGTTATGCCTTACTTGGTTCACTCGTGGTTATTGCTCATTAAAATTCAACTGATTTATGATAAAATAACTACAAACCCAAAATAACTATTTGAGAATGTTCCACATTCATGATATCAGTGATGTCTGATGTATACCGTCTATAGTTTTGATATTAAACAATTACAGGAAGCCCCGCTGGGAAGCAGGGCATCAAAAAATTGAGATAGACTCTTGTTGGTCCTCTCCACGGAAATCTTTAGTAAAAGGCGAAAGATT